TATAGTAAAAACGCTGAATAGTACTCCAGCGTCGCGACATGCGGACGTTGGTACGAGTAGGTTATCTACAAACGTCGCCTAAAGTAATTGATTTTACCCGGCAGAACGAAAGAAGGAAACTCCGCTTCTCAGTTGTCTTAGGCGCAGGTTTTTTGACAAACAATGACCTTTCAGAGGTCAAATTGCTGTCAAGAATATGAATTGGCTGCTTCGCAGCAATAATAAGCTTTATTTAAAAACACGGGAAACTTGGCTCAACTAACAGTTGTTATTCTGCAAGGACTTAAACAAATCAAACAATTGTTTAAACTCACAAATATATAAACTATCCTTAAATCTTAAACTAACTTAATTATACTAAACAAATTCGAACAAAACAAAAACACTGTAAGAAAATACCATAAAGGTGTTAACAGTTATTACAATGTCGCAATTATATACTTTTTAAATAAGGACAATTTCTTAACATTTTTCACGATGACATGACATCTTTATTAACAGGTACCATACAACGATCTACTGTCAGTCATTCTTTCATTCGATTCCAGATAAATAACAATATGAAATATGAATTACGCATATGTGCATTAGAATCGGCTTAAAACCACTGATCTTTCGTGCCCTGATTTCTCTTCTCCTGCCTCTTGCGTATATTCTGCTTGTTCGAAATATCAAGTTTCCCCGTAGGCCCTACAGAAAAATGTTATGTTGAATTTAGAGGCAGTAGTCGCCTGTGTAGTCTATGATTTTTTTTTTTTTCGGGGAAGGGGATAGGCTTGGGTGAGGCATTGATACGTTAAATGTCAGTATTTCTGTGATCATGTGACCACGGGATAGACACGATTCTGGCTTTTGGCGAATGGCGCACACGGCGTCTCTCTAGCTTTCTAATCTTCCTGTTTATAGTTTAATTACTTCACTACTGTTTTTTTTTTTTTTTTTTTGTAAAGTTCAATGGGACAAATTGCATTTCTTAACTTAATTAAGTTATTGGATGAGAAAATTATGGAATTAAATTGATCTCTGTTATAATTTAAACATTGATTTGTATAAATTTATTACGGTTGATTTGTTTCTATTTGCAAATAGGCCTATGACATCATACAAATCAAATCTGAGGTGCTGTTGCTTTATGGAAATTTGTGGTAGGGCCTATATGACTATACACGTCACCGTACAATTTACCGTACTGTATTTTATTTATTGCAATGAATTATCGATTGTAAAAAAAAGCTTTAAATATTTCATTATCAATAAAAAAATTTATCTCTTAAATTTTATATTCAGGTATAAATGAAACACCACAACAAGCAGCTTGAATTAAAGCTGTAATTGTTAGTTTACAATGAAATTATTTTCTTAGTATAGTCATACATTTTTCAATTTTTTTTTTCAAAATTCACAAATGTTTCAAAATTATTTTTTATTTAGTAAAGCGATTTTCCAAAGGATCTAGGTGGAGGATAAAATAGAAATAACATTTTATTGATGAATGTAGTGTAGTACTATGATAATGCTTAAATTAATGTCATTAAGAAAGAAATATACAGGAGAGTGGAGGGCGTAAATATTTTTTTATACATAATTTTTATTTCTGAAATATCCACTTTTTTTGGTGTAGGGTCCGCTAACTTGCCAAAATATACTTTATTATTCGAAAACCCAAATTTGAGGTCGGAGGGTTCGCTAAGGTATTAAAAAAAAGTCTCGCCAACACCACATTAAACGGTATTATTTTATGCAAGAATTCAGCTAAAAATTGTAGAATCACTGTCATAGAGGGCGTTTTACGTCTTGACACAAACAAACAACACAAAACAAACAAAAACATTAGGAAGAGGGAAATTGAACAAAGCATGGCGGACTGTTTAGCGGTTTGAATTGTTTACAGCAGCTTAACAGAATACGCGCCCTTCTCACTTCCTTGTACTACATCTATTAATTATATATTGTAGACATTGAGTGTGACTATTAGAAATGGATGATACCTTTTCCTTTGGGTTCTGGGGAAAATCTAGTGAAGAATTACTGCATTCAAAATTTCCGATGCACCGGGCCTGCCGCGATGGAGACCTGAGAGTTTTGTCGGAACTATTGATGTCTTCTGCCGAGGATCAGTACGACTTGTTTGCGGAAGACCAGTTTTATGGCTGGACCCCAGCTCACTGGTCCGCATATTATGGAAAAGTATGATATTTTGTTTCACTAATTTATACTTTTTTGCATATAAGTGTATATCGCATTTGAGACAGGCTGATTAAATTAAATTGTTGATGTCTGTTGATTGATTGGATGGATGGCAGCTAGGCCAGCCTAGCCTAGCTTGGCTGTGATTGGACGGCTGGCCTAAAGCCTAGGCCTACAGTATCCTCACAGTATGAAAAGATGGCTAGCCTAGGCCCAACCAATTTGGCGGCATAGGCCGTGGGGGGGGGGGGGGGGGGATACATTTCTACTAGGCCTTATGTGTATTAGTAGTAGTAGAAGGTGTGTTTCGTATATAGCCTAGGCCTATAAATATAACACAGTAATTTCAATATTAAGCCTACTGTATGCCTTTACTACAATCGAAACTGAAAGTAATCCTGCAAGGGAATATATCCTCCATGCACTAGAAGTTCTTTCGAAATTGAAATACTGAACAGGGATAATTATATAATGACTAACTAACTAAAAAAACTAACAAAACATCATCATATTTATTCCATCTTTTACAGTAGGCCTATAAAACTAGGTATGTTAAGAAAAAAGTCATCTTGCATGCATTTAATTTAAATGGAATTTAGGTAAAAGATTCTACAACATTCAAACATTAAAACAATTCTTATTTGATTGAAATCATGCTACTAGTTAATTTTCTATGATTTTTTTTTTTCCAATATATTATTTTTCCGGAAATATGGTATAGGGATTCAATGCAAACAATGTGACCTTTTGATATTTTATAGAACAAAAAATGAAATTATATAACAACTTTATTTCTAGTATATCTCTAGGACTGTTATTTTCTTCACAGATACTTATACTGTACAACCCTAAAAAACTTCTTGAACCACTCCCATACCACCCAACACATCCCCCTCCCTTCCCACCCAACACATCC